GAGAACCAATGTCACTTCATTTAAATAGCCACTCTCACTCTGTGGAAAGAAGGCTGGGGCAAAAGTTTTTTCCTCAAGCAGAAGCCGCTCAAAATGAAGGACTCACCCAGAATGAATGAATGAATGAGAGTGCCATGCCCTGCAAGAGTCTTGAAGTGAGGCAAGTCTGCAAAAATCTGTCTCCTCACACCACACTGTAGCAAAAACCAAGTCTCAGAGCAAAGGTTCAGCCTGGAGCATGGCTTGTGCAGGCAAAAGCCACAAGCAGTGAACAGAACTGGATCAACAATGGGTGACCAATGTGTAACTCTTGTGCCTCTCACCCTGGCATTTGGGCACATATGTGCCTGCTGAGCATTCCATTGGAAAAAACAGGACTGGTTTTTAAAGAATCTACTGAGCTCTCTGTGAAGGGAGAAGGGAAACAGGCACAGGGAGGAGACCTGACTTGCCCAAATTCACAAAGGAAAGTTGTGGCAAATCAGGGAATTAAACCCAAGCACTCAGCGTCCAAAGCCAATCCTTGGACTCTACACACAAAGATGTAGCCTGTTTAACAAAAAGTGTGAATTTAAACTGATTTAGCGAAACCCCACAAGTCTGAGGGGGTGCTCTTGATTTAAGCCTAAGCTTACTTCAAACAGGAACAGGCTTCAAGTAAACCAAAGCAAGCCATTCAAAGCACAACAGGGGTTTGCACCAGTGCAACTGTGTGTGTAGACAAGGTCACAAGTCCCATGTGTCCTTTCAGCAGTGTTAAATTATCAGCGCAACTGCTTCCAGTCTTTCCAGTAATTAGCTCCAGTTTTGAAGTTTACCAGGGAGCGGGATGGGGTCACAGGAGAGGGAAGATTTATTGCTCAGCTGAAATCTTTGGTTTTATGTTTAACTGAATTGATTAAAGTTCCATGCTGAGAGCCCTCCAGAGAGCCCTGGGTTCTCCAGTGTAGTAAGGGAATGAACGGCTGGCCATTTGATGGCAGTTTATTGATTACTGAAGTGAGAAAGGGGGCAGGATATGTCCTTTTATGGAATGCACTGTACTCTAATTGACAAAGATTGAAGATTGAAACCACTTGAAGTGTCTGGGATTCTTCAGCACAAGGAAATGATAAATTGGTTGCTGCAGCTGCTCCAAAGTGGAATTTGGAAGGGGGAGAGGGGAGAGAAAGAATTAATGGGCCCTTGATCATTTAGGGCACCAGTCAGGTCAGAAGAAATAGAATTCTATCACATACGGTGATAAGACAGGAGTCAGAAAAGTGACTGTAAAAATGCTCCCTAATTAGGTCCAAAAGTGACTTTCTGTTGTCTTCAAGTCACATCTGCAGAGCTTTCAGCAACCATAGGTTTTCCTTCTGCTAGCCTGAATGGCTATGGGAGAAGCAGCTGAATGCACTTTTTTAGACAAACTTGTCAGCCAAAACCTTTCCTTCTCTAGGATTCTTAAGTGTGTTGGCACCATGGTTGTGAGGAAGTGGAAAAGTGGAGTACCATGCTGTTCCTGGCAAACATGGCTCTCCTCATTAGAGTAGGTCAGAGGCACACTAAAAGAAAGGAACTATCTACTTCTTAAACTGGGGCTTTGTGCCTATTGCAGAGGATTTGGAATAAGCCTGTTGCTAGCTCTGTCACTCATTGGAACAAACTCAGTTCCCCACCTGTAGAATGGAAATGAGTCAATCTTGCAGGAACTTAAGTTTATGAGGTTTAATTAACGCCTGCAAAGCAGATGCAAAGCCCTGGCTGAATTTTAGAGACAAGTGAGATGCAGAGACCATGGTGACAGGAGCTAAATAAAAATGAAGGTAGGTAATTATTACAAAGTGCCCCAGCTTACCTAATGCACATGATCTGAACTTGCTGCTGTGTTAGATCTGCATTGAAAAATTGGCAGCATACTAGGACGATTGACCATCGCTCCCTGGATAGCAGTTTGGATATGGTCAGAATTAAGAATGGGGCTCACACAAGAAAAGCCAGCCACCTGCATCGGGAGTCTCCCATGTGTGCTCTGTCAGCTACCCTGCCTAGAAGGAAGGGTAGGAACTTGTCTCTTCCCATCTCAGCTCAGCTGTATTCCTGGGGCTCTCGTTTTCTTCCCACATCTCCCCTGCTGCCAGCAAACTTTCCCCAAAGTTTGCTGCAAGACACCACGCTGACGGGGTGTTCTTAGCAGTGAGAGCCCCTGGAAATGGTGCTTTTGCTCTAGATCCCAATATGATTCTCTGGCCTGACCTTCCTTAAGCCTGATCCTTACCAGACCAGCTCCTCTCTGCATACAAAGAATCTGTGCCTTCCTATGAAGTCAGAAGCAGCAGATGCTATCTAGCATCTGTTCTGTTTGGATGCATTCACATGCAAGTTACTAACTGCCCTGATTCAAGAAGATAGAAGAGGATGGATACTGCTTGGTCTTTAAATACATTCACAGATCATGAGACAATGTCCAAAATCCCATAGGAAATTTAAAGGATTGCAATTTTCCTAGCTGGCCTCATGATGTCCCCATAACTCCATTTGGATTGAACAGACACAGATCTGCATTCCCATGCTTACCTCTGACAGCAGGAACATGAGAAGGAGGCGGAGGCCTCTTGTAGCTGTGATAGGGGAAGGCCCAAGGATGGAAATAGTGTCTTATTGTCCCTCTTCAACACTCAGCATGATAGCAGTGTGTTGTCTCCTCTTGATAGAACAAGTAGTCGTAACTGTTCTCTTTTGATGCTGAGCCTTGGGACTCATGAGCCCTTGATCACGAGCTGTGTTTGCTGGTTCGCTTGGCAAACGCAAAGTATTTATAATACATGGTACACGCCAACCCAGTCAGACCTCATTCACTTTTGCAATAAAGCGGCCATTTTTCATGAGGGCATATAGACTAACGTTCCCATTGATGTGAAGTGAAAAGGCATTATTTTGGCAAGGGTAAAACCAAAAATTCAATCGCAATATAATGCAGAATGGTGAAAAAAACCCATGAAGGTAGTATTTTCCAAAGCACCTAGGTTACCTAGAAACACAAGTCCCAGTAACTTCCAATTGACAGTTCAGCATTGAATAGAAGGGGTATATACAGGCAGTCCCTGGGTTACGTACAAGATAGGGACTGTAGGTTTGTTCTTAAGTTGAATTTGTATGTAAGTCGGAACTGGTACATATTTTAGGGGAAACTCTAGCCAAACATTTCTCAAGAGCTCAGTTTTATTCTCCCACACCTCACTTCCCTCAGTCCTTTATTCTCAAGCTGAGGTGTCTGCTGAGAAAAGCCGCTCCACGTCTCCCTGGTCTGCTGGGGGTGGGGTGCTAGCTTCGTGTCTCCCTGGTCTGCTGGGGGGAAACAGCTAGTGCGGGGTTGCCTCACCCCGTTTATAAGTAGGGATCCGATGTAAGTCGGATCCATGTAACCCAGGGACTGCCTGTACTTTCTCTTCCACGGTGCCCTTCTTGAAGGGACCAGGTCTAAGGGGGTAAGGTATTTTCCAGATCTTGAGCCCATTGTCTCCTGGATGCTAAGTAATGCTATTCAGGGGCCCAGTTTTGCTGATGTGGATATCTGTCTGCCAGGGCAGGGAATGAGATCAAATTCAAATCTGTGATAACCTAAAGATGAGAGGCAATGCAGGCCATTCCTCATCTCCTGAGTCACCCAGTCCTCAAATTCGGATACTGGAAGTCCATTGTCACAGTGACCTCCCTTATCAATGGTGCAAAGTGCACAAGCACTCTCAACAGGGAAGGTCCTACCACTGACTCACTGGCACAGCCAACAATAGTAGCTAGAAAAGGGAAGATCAGACAAACAACATCGTAGTGGGGCTTCTTGTCCTGCTAAGAGCAGGGGTTGGCGTGGGCTAATACCAGCCTTCATGTTTCTGGTCTCGCTCTCAAACACAAACCAGGCCAACAAACTCCTTCTGAACATGAACAAACGCTGAATTGTTGTGGTGAGTCTGCAGACACAACACCTTTAAGAGCGTTGGACTGCCCCATTCAGCTCCACGGAGCCTTAACTCTGAAATCTACCTATGTCTTATTCCAGTGTCCACAGTTGTAAATGCCATCAATGTTAACTATGGCCCAGATTTGAAGAGGTGTTTTACGCATTGCTGTATTCAGCATAGTAACAAACTGATTTAGAAGTCTGAATGTTATTTTCAGAAGTGATTTAGGCACTTGAGTGTCTAAATCCCATTGACTGTCAATGGGACTTAGATGCCTCATGGCCTAAATCACTTCTGAAAAGGACATTTAGGCTGATAAATCACTTTGGCATTGCAATGTTGAGCGCCGTAATGCCTCAAATACCTTTGCAATCTGGTTCTAGGTCACTAGTGGTCATTTTAGAAAGATGACCATCAACTCTGGTGCTGTAGGTGAAGGCTGGAGTTGTGTGTGGTGCTTGTCAGGTTTTAGTCATTTGAAGTCCCAAGTATGACCCTTGACTACAATCCTCTCTCAGAAACAAAGTGACAAAGTGTTGTAGAAATGTGAGCAAGTTGGGTTTTCAACAGGCATGGGCAAAAGATGGCCAGGTAATTAAAACCAATGAACAACCAAACCTCCCAAACAAAAATTCAATACAAAACCCAGAGAAGGAAAATTTGAATACAAACCTCTGAAAGGTTCAAAATCCACTGGTCACATTTTGTAATTTTTGTATGTTTCTGTGCATCTGGGTTTCAGCTAGATAGAGATGTGCCAGACTAGCCTGAGAGAGGCCATTGTCATGAGCTCTTTTATCCAGTCTGGCAGAGAAGTACTGCCAGTCCAACTTATCATCCAAACTTTTCTAGAGCTCATCCAAATCCAACTACCAAATTTGATGAGATTTTCCCACAACTGTATTTCACTTTGGCCTTACAGAGTGTGATAAAGGGCAGAACTTCAGCATTTTAGGAACATTTCAGAGGCAGAGGGAAAAGGAGGTTGAGAAACAAGATGAAAAACACCCCCCTCATTGAAAACACTTGTTTTAAAAAGACAGTCTGAGCACAAAGGTGTTTTTTTTTTATAAAAACCTTGCCACTGTATTGCACTAAGTCAAGTATTCACAATAGAACCAGCAGACACACTGTCCAGAAAATCCTGCTTTCAGCAAGTTTACTTACAGAGGTGATGCTCTATATGCAGAGCCAAAAATGAATTTAACAGAGCAAAGACAGAAGTGCTGTTGTGTTTAAGCAAATCCATCAGGACTGGTTGGAATTTAAAATCCTAGGTTTTCTTATTTCTTCTTTGAATAATGAATTGTCTTCATCCAGCCAACAACCTTCTTCCACTAGGTGTCTGTGTATTTTGCGCACACGCACACACTCACTCTCTCTCCCCGCTTCACCCTTTCCAAAAGTCTGTCATCTTTTCATAACTATAATATCTCTGCTGTCTATAGTGCATCCCATCCCAAAGTGCTTTACAGACAGACACACGAACTATAACTAGAAATTATTTGGCCCAGCAATGAAATGCGGCCATCTCTGGAGCAGGAAGCAGCAGCTGTTTAACAGCACCCAGCAACACCACGTGGCAGGAGGTGAAGAATATTTGGTAGGTCACATTTAAACAGCCAAACTAATTTGGCCAGGACACCAGCGTTATTATTATTGAACATTTATATTGCAGGAATCCCTAGGGGCAACCAAATTGTACAGCACCTAACACAATGGGCCCCCAAACATGGAAAATAAAATAGTCCCTGTTCCAAAGAGCAGTCAACCCTACTCTTACACACGGCCGTTAAGGGGTCTTAAGTATCATATTTAGTCAGGGGACACACGTGCGCACGCATTCACACACACAAATCTAGGCCAAGTACTCTGCTGGTATCAACCAATGCAGCTCCACTGAAATCAATGCAGCTTCATCGATGTACAAGCATTAATTTGTCCCTCTTTCTACGCGTACATAAAACAAAGTATTTAAAATTCCAATGGGGAGCGAGTGGAGAAGCAATAAAAACAGGCTTTGCCACAGAGAAATACCAGATCATAAGACGACATCGATGGCTCACATTCCCCTTTCCCATTGATTGAGGAAGGAGGCAGCTTGGGGCATGCGAGAAGGAGAGGAGAGGGAATGTTTAACAAAGAAAAAAAATACACATTAAAATATTGCTCTTCTCAGCATTCTATGCAAAATTCTGACAGACCCCTTCCCCATCCCTATCAAAGGTTGAGATCCCTCTTGTGACAGGCTGCAAACAGCCCAGTTCGTGGAAGAGGCTGCGAAGGAGGCCTACCCCCAATAAACAGCCTTCCTGAGATTTGGATCTGTGATGAATTATCTTAGCATCTAAAGGAAACAACATTTGAACATTTAACGTTATGTTCCTGGAAGCCAGGATACATCTGCTGCAGGCACTGGAATGGGCTAAGGCTGCTTTGGCCCACGTGTTTCACATGCTAATCAATAAGGCAGCCTCTCGCCCTGTGGTAAGTCCCAACCAGGGTGTCAGCATGTGATGCATGGGCTTGGAGTGGAATCTAGAGGCAGAGAGGAAAGGAATGAACCAGTGAGGATGCAGGGGAAAGGCGAGAGATGCCTTGAGTAGTTAAGAATGGGGGAGGCCCCCAGTTTTAGGGCCCCCTTATCTCCAATCTCATCGGAGGTGCAGGTATGACGGGATGGAGTAGTTAAAGAGCAAATAATCCATTTTGTATAAATTAAAAAGTCTCCTTTGGTAGAAGGGGCTGATGTCCTCAAAGAACTGGGCTGTCATGTCATCTGTGGTCCTGGTGGTCTTGGACGAAGAGGGGAATTTGACACTAGCCTCGGCTCCTACGAGCTGCAGGACATAGCTGGCGTCCTCGGCCAGCGTCTCATACTTGCCCACCACATCGTAGTGGATGATGCAGGGGTGACAGAGCGAGTGCACCCGCTCCCAGTGCTCGTTGAAGGGCTCCTCGTGCTGCGTGCGTGGGTCCAGCAGGTAGTAGACGAACTCGTCAAAGCGCACGTCGTCGCCACGCTCCAGGGCCTCATCACTGGGCTCCTGCTGGTGTCCGCGGATGATCTTGGTGCCGTAGGGTGCCGTAGCGCTTGTGGAAGGCCGTGTTATAGCTACGGGTGAACTTGTTGCGGTAGGCAGAGACCAGGCGCTCGAAGGGCTCCCGCACAAAGATGAACTTGAGGTAGTTGCGCAGGCGATGGTTGATTTCAGGAGTGCTGTAATCTGAGAGGGTGCGCAGGTTGGACGAGACATGGGCCTCATTGGCTGGGATTTCTAGAGGGTCCCGGTATTTGCCCTGTCCAGTCAGAACCATCATGACTCGCTTCCAGTTGGTGCAGGCTACCTTAGGCACATAGCAGTAAAGCAGGCCGTGTACATCATCCACAACAAGGTGGCGCAGGTCATCAGGCGTCAGGAGGCGGCGCTTGCGGGTGTAGCGGCCGCAAACGCTGCTCAGCAACTCTCGTCTCTGCTGGTGAGTGGCCTGTAGGGACGACTGCTCAAACTGGAGAGACACAAGAGGGAAATCATCACTGCCTGGATGAACATGACATGGAGCGGGGCTCCAGCAAGGCGCACTGGAGTTCAAATGTGGGAATTAGGACATGAAGTCCATGTTCACTCCCTGCTGTGGTGTACAGGGCATCCCCGCTATAAGATGTCCCGGTATACATCCATCCCACACTAAACTCATTGAGATTTGTAGGAAAGGAGGCATTTTAAGTCCTCTCATTCCTTGCTCTTAAGTTGCATACAACTCCCTCCAATTTGCGCAAATGGAAGTCAGCTGCGGGAAAAAAAAAGTCCCCGCTTTAAGTTGTTTTGCTTGTAAGTCCAAGTTTTTTGGAACTTATCTTGAACTTACAGCGAGGATGGCCTGTAACACACTTCATTCGTGCTGCAGAGTTCACCCATGAAAAGGCAGGAGAGTGGAAGCAAATACAGAGAGAGGGGGGAAAAAGGGAGAGGGAGTGCAGAAAACAGAGCAAATAAAATTATTTAAAAAGTTTCTACAATACATACACACTGAGTATAGACTGGCCACCTGTGCTAGCACTGATGAAGGGGTCAGGAGGGAAATTCCTGATACAAGGCATTGGCTAGGGAAAAATTAAATTGAACCGAATAACTCAGAGGAAAAGCCGTGGTGGTAGAGAAGGGATTTTCCAAGGCCCAAAGGGCAGCGTGGCTGAAAGTCCAAAGGAATTGTGTGCACAACCCTCACTTGCATTTCTGGAAATCTCTCCTTGAAACTTGGGGAACAGGGGAATGGAGGAAGCTTCATGGACTCCAACTGCAATCCCTTCCACCAGCCTTGCTTAGGAGCCTACCTGTGCAGCCTCCCATGGCATGGGCTCTGGAGACGTTCTCAGGGCTGGGGGAAGGCGAGTAGCTGGGACTTCCAGAGAGTCTCCAACACACGGGTCAGCTCCCATGTTAAGGGTAGTTCTGGCAGCTGGGACAGGAGTCGGATTCAAGTGCACATTTTCAGAGAGGCGTGGGAAACAGCAGGGAACTGGGAGGCAGAATGAGCTGTGTCCCGAGTGCCAGTCAGGAGCGGGAGTGGAAGGGAGCTTAACCCACAAAGCAGCATGGAGTGAAGTCACAAACAATCCCGAAGCCTCCCCGTCCCTAAGGCCTTTTGGCACAGACACTGTGGTGGGGTCATGCAAAGGAGCAGCCCCCTTGGAGGGCCTCCTGAGGGGAGTGAAGAAACCGCAGACAGAGGTGGGAAGGCAGGGGCGAGGGGATGAATCAGAGTCTGTCATTGTATATCCAGACTGTATCAACCTTGCTGCTAAAGCCATTTGGTGGCCTGCCTGCAGAGCAGCCCCTCGGAGCTTGGGCTGGCAACACCTACAATTCCCCTGGATTAAGAGGTTAGACCTACCTTGGCGTCAGTTCTCCTCTCACGTTATTCTCCTGGGGTCGGCAGATGAGGAGAGCAGACGCCCCTCAGTCGTCTCACCCCCACCCCCTCTTTTCTACAAGGCTGGCTCAGCATCTGAAGCTGGGGGGGGGGAGGGTGCCACATGTGGCAAGACAATTGTGATCACAGACGGGTCTTGAAATCCCTCCAGGAACCCAAACAGCCCCTTTCCTATCCTCTCTCCCCCGCATTCCTCCCGGAGCTGTCTGCACAGATTTGGCAGGTCAGCACGTGGCTCCAGGCTGGGTTATGCAGAGCAAGTTCATCCAGAGGAGGCTCACATTCCTATTCGGGGTCTTCCCCCACCACTGCACAAGCATGGTAGGGAAATCCCTCTCCAGTGCCACACTCCCCAACACAGCCCTGTTCTGCAGCAAGATGCAGGCATGGCTCAGGTTTCAGCCCATCAGTGCTAACTCTGCAACTTCATTTACATTTGCTCTCTCATCCCACAAGTATTTGTTTCCCCCTCTCTTCCCCACCGCCTCTTTCACCAGCTCTACCACTTTGCTAAAAGCCAAGAAGAGATGTCTCTGCTGGACCTAAATCCCAGCGACAAGCCCTCTCCAAAACTTTCATCCAGATCCAACTTCATGCCAGCCTCTAGCTCTGTAAACCCTGGAGCCAGAGCCCAGATTCTGGGGAGATTTGGATCTAAGCTCCATGGCACGGGCCCATCACTTACATTAATGCCTTAATCCACTAAAAGCATGTGATTTCAAAGGGAAGCCAATGCCAGGAAGCTAGCAGGAGAAGAAATCCCTTTGAAATCCCCTCCCTCTCCTGCCCACCTACTCCCATCAATGCTGGCAGAAGCAGGAGACACTCCTGTGGCTTCTCAATACCACTCAAGGCTGGTGCTACAAGGGAAACTTCTAGGCTGGTTCCAGACAGTGTTCTTTGTAAGCCGTGTGCTTGGGCAGCCACCCAGGTAAGATTCAAATGCCTCCCACTTCATTAGCCGAGCGCCCACACCCAGCAGCCTATGTTTCTACTGGTGGTGCACATTAACACATGCCTCCATGCACATACAAATTATTCTGCACATGGATGGAAAAAATGAAAAGGGAACATTGCTCCAGAGTGTTACCAACCCACAGGCTATGACAACAACCCATCCCACTGCTAACGGAAAAGAAACCTGCCTTTGTGCAGCTGTTGCTTTAATGTGATGAAAGCTCCCGTATCTCAAGCCAAGGGCATCTTCTCTCTCGGACTCTGTAACTCCAGACTGCACCCCACTGTCCGGGGAAGAGCTGCTCACTGTCCTCTTCTGTAGCCTGTGATTCACATTCTTTTCCCTTGCACCAGAGCTCCCTATACATGCTGCTGACTGCGAGTGCTCTGCTAATCAGCTGGACAGCATTTGAATCTCTCCTGGGTGGCTGAGCAAGTGCTCAGCTTACGGGGAACACTGCTTCACACCCCTCTATGCCAGCACTTTTACCCCCAGAACCTCAGGGAGTTGGGAGGTTGTTCTGCAGGACTGGAATAACCCCCATGGCTTGAGATTTGAACTGGCCTCCCTCTGAGCACCCCTATCCACTTTGAAGCCCTCATTCCTGTCCACAAGGCCCTACACAGCTCCTTGCTGGCCTACTTCTCTAACCTAGTTGCTAATCACACCCCTCCTGCTGCACTCCCCTTCACCAATAATGCCTCAGTCTGTTAGTCTTTTTTAACCCCACAGCCATTTCCTGCCCTATCTCCATGCCACCCCCCTGCCCCATGGAACACTCTCCAATGACCGTTCTCTAAGCCACCTCAGAGGTTGATCTGAACAGGGAGGCAGTGCTAAACTGCTCCCAGTCTCCAGCGGCTGTCCAATGGGGAGAGCAGGGCATGCTGCAGGCCAGGACTGAGGTGTAGCAGAGCTGGATGGGGACCCTGGACTGCAATAACAGGAGCTGGAAGCCAGGTATGAGATGCTTCAGCAAAGATGGGGGGGAACCCCTGGACTGGAACAGCAGCTGCTGGAGGAAGTGCACTAGCAGAGGGGTGCAGGAAAATCTTGCACATCGACCCTTCCATATGATGAACATGCTCTGTATATTTTCTGACTCTTCAAGTGTTTCGCCCAATATTTGTGACCTTAAAATTTTTTTTTAAAAACGGCTGCCCTGCAATCATTCCATCCTTGTAATCAGGCTCTGGCTGGATGCTCCTTCAGCAGCAAGACTGACATCATTATCCTGTCAGCCTGGCACCCCACCCATGCAGAGACTTTCCGCCTTGTGAGGTAAGGTGCAGCCAGATCTTTGCATTCCTCACATGCTTGCTACTGAAGTTTCCTGCCAGCCACGGTTACATCACACGTATCCACCCACCCCTCCCCAGAAGCCCACTTGCTTTGCCCGGGCTGCCTGCATGGATCCCCAGCCAGCCTGCTAGTCCCTGCAAGATTCACCTCAACATCTTTCTTAGCCTGGGTAGGCAGAGCTGTGGCAATAGTGTTTTGCTAGCTAGGAGCTTTCTAAACACAGCACTTTGGGCACTGGATCACAATACAAACCTTCATCACATTGACACTTGGCATTCTACACTAAGGATATAAAATTGCGGTTAATAGACTAGTCGATGGAATTTCCATTGACTACTCGACCAGTCGATAGGCACTTTTGCATTCCTCCTTTGAAATGTGGAACTCCGCGTGCAGCCCGGGACCAGCAGGAAGTCCCCCTGGCTCCAGGCTGCGCGGGTGGGCCTGCTTTGAAATGTACAAGAGTCCCCAGCGGGGGCTCTTGTGCATTTCAAAGCCACAGTGCCCTCATGGAGCTCGGTGTCAACGGCGGACTCCCCAGTGGAGCCTGGGATCTGCTGCAGACTCCACAACTGATCCTGTTTCTGGTGAAATGCCACACCATGGTGGCGTTTCAAAGGGGCAGCTGCCGCATAGGTGAGCCGGGGATCAGCTGTGCGGCAGCTGTCTCTTTGAAATGCAGTCTTGGCGTTTCAAAGGGTCAGCGCTATGGAGCCAAGGGTCAGCTGGGGCGGCTTTGAATCACTTGAGCCAAGATATTCCACATTTACCATTCCTCCAGAGCAAATATAATGCAGCCACATTAAGACTCCAGGTTCTGGGGAAATGCTGCATGGTACACGGGGTCAGCTGGGGAGTCCCCGGCTGACCCCAGGCTCCATGGCACTGCCCCTTTGAACGCTACTTCCACGTTTCAAAGGGGCAGCACCACACAGCTGAGCCCAGGATCAGCTGTGTGGCAGCTGCCCCTTTGAAACGCCACCTTGGGGTTTCAAAGTGACAGTGCCGCATAGCTGATCCCCAGTTCAGATAGAGGCAGCAAGGTGGGGGGAATCAACTAGTCAATAGACTATCCAATAAGCACTTCTTTATCAGATAGTTGACTAGTCGACTAGTCCTTAACATCCTTATTCTACATGGCAACCCACAGACCCATTCCTATAAGTTGCACAGTGTTTGAGATGGACAGGAAGCTTTTACTGGACAGAACTTACCACCACGGCCCGAACCCTTTGCAGATGTTTGTGTGGGTACCATCAAGGCAACTGAAACCACAGCTAACATCTCTGTTCAAAACTATAGCCAGCAGGACCCA